CACAGCTTTCATGACACAAGAGAGCCTTGGTTTTTTCAACACAAATACAGCTGCCGAAACTGCAAAACCTGCTTTGTGATACAGCCTCTTTTTTATTTTATCTCTAATGAACCTTTATGTGTCCAGGTTAGTCCCACTGAGATCTGTTTCAAGCGGATATGGTCAAGAATAGCAACAACAACACAGTTTCAACGATAAAAACACTCAAACTCACACAGTACACATAATAATGAGAAAAGCATCGGCTCAAAGAGGCTCTTAAAAGATAATCGAGAGTTCCAGTGAGGTGGAAACAATTTGGAAGAATGGGCAATGTTACTTAGGCGAGACGTGGGATGGCAACTGAAGGCAGCAGACCTCAAACGGTCGATTTGATGATTCATTTATAATTCTGTGAGTCCGACCTTTTCTCTTGCTGAGTCATAGATTCTCTCCTGCTCTGTTCACAGGTGATCCAAAGCCCTTCTCTGTCTCTCACTCGCTGCTTTTCTTTGCACATCAGTGTTCAATAATCTCTAGCATCATGTCGGTGTATCAGCAGCGGTTCTCTGGGAAAATCCAGACGGTCACTGTTACCTGCCGCGTTTTAATTATATTGTTAAACTCTGGAACACTCTACAAGACTGTTAAACCCAACAGATGATTTTTCATGATGGTGTAGAGAAATAAAAAACAGCTAATGGGAGGATTTTTTTAAAGTCTTGTATTCTGTTCCTGAATATAGTCAGCTGAGCCTCGAACTGTCATATTTATTAAAATCCTGCATCTGTCTTCTACTGTTACTCTTTATCTTACTGATTATTATCCAATAAAGTTCTGCTTCATGGTTATGCAATAAAGTTTTGTTATGATTTCTGATCTTTTTAAGTGTTCTTGGGAGAGTTGCATTTCGTTGCAACATGTTCCATGCAGCAGTATTTATAGCCTTAGCTAATTAAAGTGATGGTGCATAGTGACATGCCTCAACAGCTTATAGGGCTGATTTAGTGCAGGAAAAATATTTTTCATCTCGAAGGGATGTCCTGGTAAAATAAAAAATAAATTAAGCAGACAGACCAAACCAAAACAACTATTTATTATGAGCACTTAGGACATGTAAGAGTGAAAATATTGCTTCAAGTTTGCGAGTTAACTTATTGGAGGCAGTAAACACTGCTGACATTTATTTATATTAACATTCTGTGAGTGACGGTCATGAGGCAGGGGAGGAGGACGTGGAAACAACGAGAGATTGAAGATTCAGGATTAACTTTATCGTCTCACAAAGTGAGAAATGTCTCTCGGGCTCTTCACCCATGCTGCAGACAGAAAAAGACAACATCCATCAAGCCTTAAATTATGGCTTTTAACAAAAATACAAACCTTAGACAAAGAAATTGGCATTTATCTACTTAGAGAAATGATATCAGATTTACCCTAAAGAAAGACGACAGGCTGTACAGGTAGATTCAATCTGAAGGGCTGTAAATGGACAACCCCCCCTTCCCCTTTCATTATTAGAATAATGACTCTTCTTTCTTTCTAATTTAACTTAAAGTTGTTCTTGAGTGGTTATTAATGTGCTTATTTGGCTGTGTTCTTTATATAAAAAGAATTGATGTGCACACAAAAAATTGCAATTCATTCTGAACGATGTTGTTGTGTACAATCATTGCAATAAAGTGATAAAAAAAAGAACATCTTTTTACTGCAAATGTTCAAGAAAGGGGAGCTGACAGTCTAGTGGTTAGGTCACACCCCATGTACAGAGGTCATAGACAGCCCGGGTTCAAGTCCGACCTGTGGCTTTTTTCCTGCATGTCATTCCCACACTCTCTCTCCTGTTACTCTCGCCCTCAGTTTTAATTTATACTATTAATATCATACCCAACATTATATATAACTTTACAATAATAATAGAACAAACAGTATGTCAGTGCGTGCAGACAAAAGGCTTAGATTTGTTATACTTATTTCTTATTTAACCCCTGCATGTTATGGGGCAGCCGGGTGATCTAACCCTAACCCAGAACAGTTAAAAAAACAGGATACACTCTTCTGGGAAGGCTTTCCACCAGATTTGGGAGTTTGGCTTGAGAGATTTGTTCCCATTCAGCCAAAAGAGCATTAGTGAGGTTCAACGGCACAGTTTGGTGTTAAGCCCCGGCTCACAGACTTTGTTAGTGCCAAAGCTGCTGGAAGGGATGCAAGTTGAGGTCAGGGATTTGTTGAAAACGTGTTACTGAAGTATACAACAATCACAAAACTTCAATATTACCCACGTTTTTTTTTATCTGTATTATTCATATAATACGTTTATTTATGCTCTGATCAGCGGGTAGGGGGCGCCGTTGCTCTGAGTCTCATGGAAAGCCACAGTCTCGCGTAATCACACGTGTTCTCGCGGTGTTTGCGCACCGACATTTCGTGCCGTAACAACCTGCAGCAGAGGGACGGGAAGAGAAGAAAAAAGAGCTTCGTTCATGAGTTAAAACTCAGAGCTTTTTGTTGAAATTTCTCGGTAAGAATACAGCAGTGGCAAACCGCTCAGTTATGCACTCACATCTTGAGCCAGGTGCCGCTTTAAGCTTGCATCTTGCTCGTTTCTCCGCTTCAACACACACACACACACAAAGCGAGGCTGACGGCCAGCTAGGTGGCTAAAGAAGCGTTAGCTTGTAGCTACGCGTAGCTACGTTCATTATTTCTGCTGGGGTCTGGCTAGTTAAATAGGACTTTGATGAGCTCGTTTGAAATGCATACTGTCGGCAATTATATAAAATACAATTCACTGTTTGTAAACGCTCGGGCATGGTTTTTATTTTTCGTTTGTTATGTTGATATGCAGCTAGCCATCCTCCCCTTTGAGCTATCGCTAGCTAGCTAACCGTCTCAAACTTGTCGGTTGTCTTTTCATTTCACGCTGGCAAATTTTTATTTCTAACTTACTGTACGGACTGATGAGGATGTGTGTATTTGAGCTCTAAGTGTCAATGTTAGGCTCGGTTTTTGTCGTTTTAATTATTACAATGTGGTTTGCTGCCTACTGCGGACCGTCAAGCCCCGCCCCCTGCCCTGACGTCATACACCCACAACATCTTACACTGCTGTCATGAGCAGGTAGAAGATGAGTACAGATTTAGAGTTTACTGAGGCCTTATCCTTTTCAGGTATTGAGTCTGTAAAATAAATGGTTGTTTGTTTTTCAAACTGCTAAATGTAACTTTGTTAGGAGAAGTTGCGTTCAATTTGGATTTGGCTGCAATTTTGGTTTGAAAACAATACAGTGGATAATAATGAATAATGGGTTTTAACATGTTGAAAGTCAAACTTTAACAAGGGTGATATATTGACTACTGCAGTCATTACTGGAAAATGATAGCCAACACATCTTACTTTCGCTTGCAATCATTTCCTCACTATGACATTCCTTAGTGGCAATGGTTGTAAAATACATACATGATTAAAAAAAAAATATAGGTCTGGGTTGTGTTGTATGTTTGTTCCAACACTCAAATATCTATTAATGGCCCCAGATCATGCAAAGTTTCGTTCATTTAAACATACATTAACTCATCCATAGATTTCCTTGCGATATTAACACAGATTTGAAAAAAGATAAAACCAACAAAAGCTTGTGAGGTTTTAAATTTCATATATTGGAGACATGTTAAATGTTAGCTTCTGGTGAATATTCTCAATATTGGCAACCTAATGTAAATTGGCAATGCGTGGACATGTGATTGTTTTGGTTTCAGTGAGGGGGGATGATATTTTAAAATGGGTGAAGAGATAAGGTCTTGATTATAGTAAAAGGTTTGGCAAACGCTGTGTGGTCCAGATCCTCTCTGTGGAGGTTTGAGCTCTGAGTTGGTCATGTTGCCCTGAAAATGTGTTTGAGTTTATCATTGATTGGCCTTCAACTTTTCTTGTTCAACTCCCTTCTTGTCGCTGTGTTTTGAGGTTGATTTTAAACGTGGATATTTGCATTAAATATGCATCCTGCATTAAAGCGTTGAATCATGTCAGTGTTTATACTCTTTATCCTGAGATTGCCATGTTGGAATTTGCTTTCTGGTTTTCTACCTGTTTGCAGAATATTTTGTGTATCTTCTGCTTGATCTGGATTTCTTCTCTTTAATGTTTGTGTCCTGAAGCTTCTGCTGATCCTTTTAACCACACTATGGTTAGCTGCTGTTTCCTCTTTAGCTCTGTTCATCCGTTTGCTGTTCATTATGTTTCACTCAGACTGTTATCAGGTTTACACCCAGAAGTAACAGGGCAAGCTGAAGTCCACAGAAAAGGTCAATCTTGAAGAACTGTTTGATGAGCTGTCAATCAAATGTCAGTGTTAGTGGGAATTGTCATTGTTGAGACACTGAAATTGATAACGCTGTGCACTTTGTTGAATGTTGTGGTAGAAGCTGCACCCAGAAAGACTCTGGATTTCAAAACTGTTGATATTGTAAGCATTTTCAACAAACTACTTTTATGAGTTGGAGAGTAATGACATATCAGACTTCAGTGAGATGTCTATTGTGGAGATATATAACAGTTTTAACTAGAGCCTGAATGATATAACTGCTGACCGATTCTATCAGGGTTGATATGGGCACGTTTTCCATTTTGGGCTGAAATGAAAAGTCATCTAAAGAACATAGTTGGCAGAAAAAAACTACTAGGATGACTTTGAAATTGTGTGATCATGTAACTTATTCTGTAGAGTACTCCGACTGCATAGTTCAAAATACTGTCAGCACTCTGCAGCACATATATACAGGATATCACAGTTTGGCGCGAAGAGTTCACATTGGAAATGGGTTACAATAAATAAGTATTCTTTAATTAAGTCATTTTTTAAGAAATACGCCTTCTGAGTACATTTGCAATGTCAAATGTATCCTAAATTCTTGCATAGTTCATGTAAACAAGGTCTGTTTTAATTCCTGCTATAAAAAAAAACCAATAATTATATTGCAAATTCTGTTGTTTTTTTCTAAAATGAAGCAAACAAGATCCGCACACCAAGGAGCTCCCGTTAAAAGGGTTTATTGACAAGGAATGTTTCAAGCCAACATGCTGTTCCTCAGACTTGAGCTTCTACTTCTTCACTTCTTTTTCTGGGAAAATTGCCCCTCAAAAACTGGTATCTGTATCTGCCCAAACAATCAAATATCAACCAAGCTCTAGTTTTAACAGTCCTGGTTCATGGTTTGTTGGAGCACAGGAACTGGAAGATGTGTCTCAGTATTGAGAAACCTTTGGGAAGCAGAGGATTTTGGAAACAGGGACCATTGCTCTACTTATTGTTGCTCAGTTTGACATGTTTTTGTCAGTGAATGTTTCACTGCACTTCACTTCTGTTTGTTTTGTCTTCTGATCAGCTGCTGTTTTGGTGCTGTGCTGTCTATCAGTTGCTGATGTTGCTCTGGTTGATGGAATGCTAATGTTGTGCTGGATGACATTATGCAAATTTTGCTCTTGTTTACATGTACCTGAAATTGCTTTTTTTAAATGATGTTGTCCTCTTTGCTTTGGTTGAACCTTTACTGCTGTTGCTTCTGTAAAGATGATGCTAATGTGTTTTTGATAATGTATTGCAGATTTGCTGGTTGAAAGGTTGCTTTCTTGTTGGTGTAATACCGTTGTTGAAGTGCTGTCTGCTAATATGGTGCTGCTTGAGGATTAATAAGGCAGCAGGAGCAGACCTACTCACCTTTGTGTTGTTGCTGGCTGCCTGCTTGGCAGATAGGTCTTGGTATGTTCTTGGTCTTTGCAGGGTGTTGGTTGGTTGCTTGGTAGTTGTTTGGTAGTTACCGACTAGTTGTTTGAGTCTGGTCTGTATTTGTGCCAGCCTTGGTCAATAAAGTCTCTTGTGGGAATTGAGATTCTTAAATTTAGAACTTTCTTTAAATGTTGAAGAAACGTTTTAGTTGTTCGGCCAATTCACACATCACCCTATGCTTTATAAACACAAAATCTTTTGAATGTGCACAAGCGCCAGTCACTGACATGATAAAGTATAACTTGCCGACTGCTGAAAACACCAACCCTTGATGTTAACATTAAACTTTTATCAGTTTGTTTGACTGTGACTTTGAATACCATCCATGAATTTCCATGTTTTCTGACCCTTTCACCAGGTTTGAGTATCCTGCAGAACTCTTCTGTCTGTTTAACAGGAAAACTATACACAGCTTAGTTGCATTGGTGAGTTGGAAGTTGCATGAGATTCATCAAGCTGTACTTAAATATTTTTGTACCGCATGGTAGACAACAGCAGTGGTAATTTTATAGAACCATGTTGCACACTATTCTTAGAAATATTTGAGGCTGATACACAGACTGATTCTAGTGAGATTTAAAGTTTTTAGTTATCTTTGGACAAATAAGATTGTGTATTAATTCACCATTTAATGTTCTGCTTCAAATGATGAAAAATTAGGATATTTATTTTTGAATTTCATATACTGTTTATTGTCAAGACTTATCTGAAAACCGCTTGACTTGAGGAATACTGAAGAATTGAATTTCCAACAAAATAAGTTGCATCAAAAAGTTTATTGTGTAGACTGGCATAAGGCTGAGCTGTTTGAGTGACATTCACAAGGGAAGGGATCAACAAAATTAGGTTTGTCAAAGGTCTGCATCAACTCTAAAACATTCTGAGCAAATAAGAAACAGTGTGAGTTCTCAATCAGATCATGTGGACTTCACTTGGAGGATTTGGGGTATTGTACCTGCCCATGTTGCATGCTTACATGCTTATGGTATAGGATAACTAATGCGTTTAGCTAGCTAACACTATCTTGTTCAGATTCAGCAAAGAATAAGACACTTGAATCACATATTACCCTGCTTTGTGTGTTTATGGATGTGTGAATGTGTGGGCATACATATATATACAGAAGGTGACAAATTAAAGGAAAAACCTGATAATTGACCCTACAGTGAGGGCATCTGGTAGCTTTGTTATACTGATTTGCTTATATGGTTTGGGTCCATCTGTCACTTAGCAAGAAGGGTTACCACCAACCAATACAAAGTCTTTCTGGGTGATCAAATTAATACGTTGATGAAAAATATGTGTCCTGATGTTAGTTGTTACACCATTCATTGGAACAAGGGGTCACTGAATGGTTTGATGGAAAAAGAATACTTTTTGGAAATGCATTTGAAATGATCATAACCAAATGAGGTGTTGGTTTTTCCTCTTATTAGTCACCCGTCTCTATATAATAAGTTGATTAAAAGAAGTGCCATTCGTTTATGATTTGCTGTTTATTTTTTACAGTCGTTGAAAATTAACAGTGGAGCTGTGTTAGTGCTTAAGATTGCCTCTGTTGGTGCTAAACATAAAGTCTTGACTGTCAGCATGATCTTATTATTTTCAAACACTTGAAGCAAGATTAAGAAATGTATTGAAACTGCAGATGGCTAGAGACTTTTGTTAGATGTTAGACAATTGTCCTGCAAATTGTTTCACCCAAAAACCCTTCATAACACCACTGGTTTTCAAAT